AATATTAAGTGTTATTAATACTATTTCGTGTTTAGCTATTTTTTTCGTGAACCCTTCACCCTTGTATATATATTATATTTATCCGTAATGTAACAACTCTTAAGCAATTTTACCCTCATAAATATTATAGTAATACTAAATATTTTTACTTTTTTATTGAATCTATTTATTACAAATACAATACTTAAGGTAGTAAGGTGAAGAAAGAAAATCTTAAATTATTCGTCATCCTTGGTATAATATTGAACTATCACTTCTGCACAGACTTGAAAGTAACCAACTACTGGTTACCATTATTATTTTATATATAAAAGTGTTATGTTAGAAATAGAAATTATTATCTACATATATAATTCAAATAAATTCATTTTTTTGAATGGACTAAAAATAAGAATTGCATAGTTCATTTCGAATAACGATAAACGAGACCATCATAAACCACGTGATAAGTAAACAAGTTTTTGTATCGTGTTATACACCGTATAGTTAAGTAACTATATATCATGTAAAATATGGTGTAAGTATATTAATATAGAATCCTCGAATTGAAGTCCGATGAAATAAATATGAATTTACAAAACCTATATTTAGTATTCGTTAACAATAAATGATTTTTTATTAGTGATTTTATTGTAACCCTTATTAATTTTATATTGTAAAAATAATTTTATAATTACGTACCTTTATATTAAAATATAATATAGTCCAATTTTTATCGGACTTAAATTCTTGAACTTAATTCCATAGTGCTTTTAGGTAAAATACTACTAAATTAATGCTGAGTGCATTATGAATTTATGCACCATAGATAAAAAGTAGTATTTATGTATTATGTAATATCTTAGTCTATCATTAATTATTGTTATATCTATGTATACATTTAAAATAATGATACATTAGTCAAATAATGCAGGATGCAGGAGCCACTTCCTACAGGGAACTTAAGAATATGGCGAATGATAAAGAAAAATGGAGAAGTCATTTGTAGTAAAACATTTAAAATTAATTTAATTATTTATTTTATATCTATTTTTCTATGAATAAACTGTTTCAACAAGATACTATGGATACTACTCAAAGACAATGAATTAGAATTTTTAGTCTTGTTGTCTTGGTACAATTTTGAATATAGTTGATTATCTTATTACAAGAAAACTGTTACTTATGGAGCAAACCACTGAACAAAAAAATAATAAATGTTTGTAAATAATTGTTAAAATCAGTGGCGTAAATATAAATTTGGGTCCCCAGGGCAGTATAAAATGTTGGCCTCCGTATATTTATAATACCAAAGTTAAAAAAAAAAATAGCCATTTTATTTCTGTATAGTAGGTAGATATTACAATTTTTAAACAATAATTTAAGTGTTTCCAAACTTTTTAAACACACGGTATAGTATAACAAACATTATAACTTAAAAGTTAAACTTACTTGTTCTATGCAAATTGTCCAGACGATTCGACAATCAAATGTAAAATGACGCCTAGATGAACAAAACGAAAAATAGACGATGTTAATATTAATATTACGAAAATAATAATAAATAATAATCGTTGTATGATTACCATTAGTGATGAGTGGCATAGATTAAATATACTAGTTTATTTTAATCTATGTTAGTGGATACTGGATAGTATGTGTACGAGTGGTACGACAATTATTATTTTTATCGCATAATAATTCAAGATTCTATATACATTATACACATCGTGATATTAATATAAAAAATAAACAGCTTCTGTTTTCCAATAATAGACTGTTTTGCACTTTTTTCCTATCCTAATAAGTAATAACAGTACATGTCTCGTGAATTTTAAAATAAAATTCAAATGTTTGTACATCATTTTTTATAATACAAATTGTATGTACGAGGGTCGAAGGCCCCTCCAGGGCCCACTAAGTCCAAGGCTCCGGGGCATTGCCATGCCTTGCCATCCCGTAGTTTACGCCACTGGTTAAAATAGTTAACTATTATATTCATATACTTTTCATATGTTTATAAAAAATAAAACTATTATATTACTAATATAATGTGTTCTTTTGTATTTCTGTAGAATAATGTATCATAATATAAAGTTTTTTTATCAATTTAAAAAATGTTTAATACTTCTATAATATTATATAAAACAATCATTAATGATATTATGTATGTAAAAATAAAACTTATATAAAAAAAGCAAAAGCATTTTATTAAAACATTTATCTATTTTATAAATTCGTAATCAACAATTAAATATTTATATGTATTTAATATTTATTGTCAATTATCAAATGTATCAATTTTTGTGGTTCCACGTCTGATGAGGCTTACGCTACTAGATAGCGCCTTAGATTATCAAATCAGTCACCACAGACTAGCAGATATATTATATTTGATTTATATTTTGTAAACACACAAACATGGAGTGTTTTTTTTTTCTTACAAAATTATTATTAAATACGTTCTACAAGTGTATGTTTCGCCGACATCATCAGATATTTTGATTCTAATGAGTTGAGACGATTTAGACGCATTCAACTTTAAGAAGGTTCCTAACCAGCCTGTCCAAAATTTGGAAACATTCATCATGTTACAAAACTTCAGTCCAGTAGTACAGACACTATTTGGCACTTTGTTCACATGGGGCTTAACAGCTGTCGGATCGAGTTTAATCTTAGTATTCAGCGGTACACAAGTAAATATGGGCTTTTAAAATGTTGTACATTTTTCCCTTATTACTATAACTTAACACGTAAAATATAATTTTCAATTTATAATTGATGACTATTGCAGAGGAAATTACTGGATGGAAGCTTGGGATTCTCAAGTGGTGTGATGATAGCTGCATCGTATTGGTCACTGTTAGCACCAGCTATTGAACTTGCTGAACAAGACAGTACCTATGGAAATGATGGACAGTTTTCATTTATACCAGCACTTGTTGGTTTTATATTTGGTGCATTTTTTGTGTATTTATCAGACTTACTCATATCATTGTATGAAATGGATGTACTTAATATTTTAATACCTGGTAAATATATATACATATTTATGCCTAAAAATGTACTGAAACTGAAAGAAAATTTGCTATATTTAACATATATATAGTTTAAAATAATTCATTAAATATCAATATTAAACAAGTGTTTTTCCTAAAATACTAATACTGATATTATTAAATTTACTAAAGTATTCATTGTCACTTAATATTACTTACCTATTAATAAACATAATTAATTATAAGATACTATATAATATTTGTAATTTGTATAGTATTTTGTTTCACATTATTTATACATTTTTACTTTTTTTATTGTTAGAAGCAAATCAATGTTCAAAAAAGAAGTTCAAATGTGATTCTAATACACAGAATACTTATTATAAAAATAATCAACAATCAATTGGAATAACAGATGGTAATAATTTTATTATAGTTGAATTTATTTGTTTTCTAAAAAAAAAAAAAAAATGATTTATTAAAATCTATATGTTAATAGATAGTGCTGGGATTTTAATGCTCTAAAAAATCTCAATTAATGCATTTAAATTATATTTATTATATCTTAAAAATTGGAAAAAAAATTTAAAATGATACTATAATAGTGTATTTTTATTTGTTTTTTTTTTGTAATAGTATTGTTTGTTGTTACTTGTTTAGTATAGTTATACTTCTGTTTTCTTAATAATTTACTCTAAAATAATAATTAAAAAAAAAAAAAAAAATTGTTATTGTCAATAACATGTTGTGCTATATAATTATTATTCGTACTATTAGTAGTTTGTCATAGCCCAAAAGTCTCTTGTTAATCGCAACATTTTTTTGTTTATTTCATAAACAAATTGTGAAAAATGCTCTAAAAACTAAAAAAATACGTTTAAGGTTAATTTTGTCATAAAATGCAAAATAGAAAATTACTTTAAAATAATCAGTATCTCCCAAACATACATTTTATATTTAAGAACCAACATTTCAAAACACCAGAAAATAAGATTCCTCTGCATCAAAATTCCAGCTTTATTATTAAAATATTTTTAAAATTATTATGTATTTTTGAAACTAATAGTTAATATTTACTGGATATTTATTTCATGTTAATTAAAAAACAAAATCATTTAAAAAAATAAAACTAAAAAGTTAAGTATTCATTACAGAATAAAAACTAAATCAAATGCATTTGCAATATAGATCAAAGCAAACAATTATTTTCTTCAAAATTTTAGATAAAACTATAAACTGTTATATTTATATAATATTTAAAAATTGGTATAATTAATTTTCTATGAACAATTTTTTCACAGGAATAAAATTAAATATTTATATAATTTTTAAACTTTTTTTTATCAAATTCTAAACCTAATTTAAAATTTTTAATTATATAAGAAATGTATACTCGGTGTATTTTATATTCAATTTAATGAATAAAATGTTAATTTAAATACATCTATTAAAATATTTAATTATATTTATTTAATAATAATATCTAATTAAATCAAATATTTTTGAATAGTGTTTATTATTAATGCTAAATAGTTTAAAAATTGAAACTATTGAGGTATTCTAAAGTATGAAATCTATTAAAATTAAGTACAATTTGAAATAACAAACTCTTAATTTACCAAGTATAGTTCAGTCGGTTTATATCTTCATTCAGACCTACTGGTAAAAAATTTTTAAAATTTTAAAAATCAAATATTTAAGATTACTTAACTTTTTACTTGACTTATTGTGATTATAAAAAAAAAATTAAGGTTTTACAAAAATGTTGTGTTATTTCTTAGTTTGTAAATAGATTAGTAGCTCTTTATTGTGAATGTTACATCAACTATTCCAGAAAACTTATCTTATTTTCCTAAACAACCAAATTATTTTAAAATTATATAGGTAGCTTATTAGTTTTTACAAGAAATATTTTTGAAATAACATTTTACATAATTTAAATGTTTATAAATAATTTTATTTTAAATATGTATTAGGTATACTAAAATATAGTTTTATTTAACTTACCGATATATTTTATAATAAATTGTTTTTGTTACTTATCAATTTATCATATTTTATATTTATGACTTATAAAAATTGTATATTAATGTTTTTTGTAGAGATTTCAGATGCTCGACTGCGATGTTATAAATCTACACATTCTCCTCCAGAATATACTGAAATAGAATGTGATAATGATGTGAAAGCATGTAGTTGGAAACGGATACTATTACTTATAATCGCTATCACTGTGCATAATATCCCTGAGGGTCTGGCTGTTGGTATAGCATTTGGAGCTGTTAATTCATCACCTTCTTCTACATTTAATAGTGCTAGGTAAGTGACCTTTTAACAATACAATATTATAAACAAATATATTTTTTCTCAAAACTTAATATTGTTATATTAAGTATAACATTTGTTGGAAAAATAATAAAATTATATTAAATAAGCAATTTAATTGGTTTAAAACGGTGAGTTGTAAGTTTATTATAATATAATAAAAATTAAAAGCTAATGTTTAATGTGGTGGTTATCAAACTATCAAACTGAGAGGTACACCTCCAAAGTTGGTGCAAAGTAAATTTTAATATTGTATACACTATTAATATAGTGCTATACACTAATAAAAAATATTGTTTTATTATTCAAGCAAGGCGCTATTAAATTATTTATTTTTGGAGATCCGAGAACCAAAAAATCTGGAAACTGTTAGTCTAATGTATCATTTTTTTGTATTATACATGAAATAATCTGATATTTTTTATGAATGAAAATATTTATTTATTTATTTTTTAAGACACTAGATTCTTATTATTGGTTTTATAGCAATTATTTATTATACACATTTAGTATATTGCACATACATATTTAAGTGTATTATATTTATTAAACTAAATATTAGTTATTGGCGTAGTTATCATGTTTTATGCTGAAACAAGCACTAAATATTTTTTATTATTAAAGAAAATAATAAGAATATAGACATTAAAATTCAAAGCATTATTTTAAAGCTAGTATATTATATTAGTTTTAATCTTTGTAGTGTAAACTCTATAAATTGTAAAGTAGAATTATATTCTTATTTGTCAATGATCTCTTGATTTAGAGTTAATATACATGTATAATTAATAATTAATTATACTATTTGATTATAATAATTTGAATATATGAGTCATTCAAAGGTCAATTTCTTGATTGGTTTTTATTTCAGTATTAAATGATAGTATAATTTATTATAAGATATTAGTACAGCATTAATGATTTATGAACTAATAAATATAGTTACTTGTTTAATTGAAAAGAAAATAATTAGTAAATTATGTCTCTTAATCACTTTTAATGTAAATTGTGGCTTGGTTAGTTTTTATGTATTAGTAAAATGTTACCAAAGTGGTAATGTTTAGTAATGAATAGCGCTCGGAAGTTGATGACCTTAAAATATTAATAAATAACCTAAAAAAAAAAAAAAAAAATGCTAATATGACATAAAAATTATAAATATTTATTTTAAATTAGTGAAAATATATTTACTTTTTTTTAAATTTATAAATCTTATAAATCTATGAAATTCTTTATAAATTTATCAAAGCTTACAAATTACTCAAAATTATTACATTTATTGTACATTTAATATAGTTATTAAATAATTTAGATGCAATGTATTTTTTCATATTTTTTTATTGAATATCAACCATTTAAAAAAAAATGTTATGTTGTACCTTGATTTTAACATTCAAACTATTATTGCTGTACTAACATTATAGCTGACAACAGTGGAATAATTGTTAATTCCTAAGACAGTCTTGAATGCTTTTTGTTGGTTATCATTCAATATTTTCTAAGTATTTAAAATAAAAAAAATAATGGCATATTTACTTATATAATAGATAATTTAAATGTTTTAAATATTAGGTAGTAAAAATATTATTTCTTAAGATTTAATGTATATCTTATTATTGTTTTAGTGTTGGGGTGAGGGCTTGATCCTACAACAAACTACAATACATTTTTCTATCCACCTTTGTTAAACCCTGTGAATGCCACTAGAAAGGATTGTTTATAAAATACATTTAAATTGACTAGTAATTGATATTATAATATGAAATCATAACATAGGTTATTTGTCATATAGTTAAATTTGTAAAGATTATTATTAACTATAAAAAAAAAACACTGTTTAAGTCTCGTTAAATAGTTATAATTCAAAAATATAGGTTATTATTTGAGTTTTAAAAGTTACTCTTCAATTTTTTTCTTTTTTAATAAATAGGAAAATATTTATTATCAAATTCATCTAGATTTTATGATTTAATATCATTTTCACACAATACATATTTTATCATCAAATCTATTGTCATATACAATTTAGATAATCCTATATTTTAATATATAGTAGATTCTTGTGTTGTAGAATCTCAAGGGAAACAGGAAAAAGTTCAAGATAGATATCGAGTTTTATTAAAAAAAAAATTCAAAAATAATATTATATGAATAATAAATAATACGAATGCTTAAAATACATAATTTGAATACTTAAAATACTGAAATGATTGAAGTGATTGAATAAATTAATTTTTTTTAATCTGTTATTAAAGTTTGCTTAATAATACTTCTATCTGCCACGTCTTCCAGATTAGATAATACAGAAAAAGTCTTATCTTCCATACCTGTAGTAATTTCAATTAAATTCCTTAATGTTTTTAAAGTATGTTTAGCTTGTTGAATAATAATTTCAAAAATGACTTCCTCTTCATATTGTAGTTCGCTTTACTTTCGCTGGGAATTTCGATAGTTTCTGATAAAATTTCGTTATCTGTTCATGTTCCACATACATGTATATTGCATCCATTTTCACATAATGTGAAAAATGTGAAACACAATCACTATGCTGAATTTACTGCCCAATTTTTTGTTCTTATCGTAAAAAAAGTATTATTTGTGTACTTGAGATAACGAAAAACGATTAATTTTATATCGAGTTATATTGAGAGTAGAACTCTATTAAGTGTAATGGTAGTTTCAAGGGGAATTCAATGTAGTTCGAGATAACGAAAAATTTGAGATAGGAACGTTCGAAATACAAAGAATTTACTGTATATTAAATTTTGAGCAAAGTTATGAGTATTTTGATTTTACAATAGGTTTTGTTTTATGGATAAGTATAATATAAGTTGTCAATAAAATGCTTTGATTTTAAAAAATAGGGGTAGTTTATTAGATATAAAATTGGTTTGTTTTTACTTTAGAGAGGTCAAATTTAAAAATACCCAGTAACTATTTTTATAACAGGAAAAAAGAAAACAGGAGTTTTACACAAATTCAATTCTTAATGAAATTGATTTTGTTTATTTTATGTAATTCAAAAATTAATAACAGTAAATACTTAAAATTTTCATTAAATATTTTTATTATCATTTTTTATATACATTAACATTTTAAAAATATTTAATTAATTTTGAGCTTATTTATAATCATAACAAATTTTCAATTATTTTAGTTTTTTTTTTATATAAATGTTGGTTAAAAATTATTTGCTGTGTAGAAATGCATGAAAATTTAATATAAAACTCTTTATAAATTGTTCATTTTTCAATTAAAAAAAAAAAATTAAAAATCTATAATCGCAATATATTTTTTATAATCCTTTTAAGATAGAATTCTGACAACATTCATACAAATTATGAAAATGAGTAAATTATTTTGTAGTTGAAATTCATTAAATGTTTTTTTACCTTAGATTTAAAAATTGAATACAATAAAGTTTTTATTAGTTTTTAAATCTATGGATGAAAAATACATTTTACTGAAAACCCAAATTAATATTTTTATAAATATTTCAAGTTCGAATATTTACGAGATTCGATATTAACTTATAAAAAATTTGTCCTCAAACAATTTTCGGTATTTTGTTGTATTTCCAAAAAAGAAATATTAATAATAGATTCTTTAAATTTTTACCAAATATCTCATTAATTGATAGAATTAACAAATATTTTTAACTCTTTTTGGATTATTTATAGCCATTAGAAATTTTCAATTTTTTTTTCTTTTGCCATAAATGCTGATAAAGAATTATTCATTGGATAAAAATTGTTGAAAATTTGATTTAAGATCCCATACAAGTTATTCTATTATCTGGTAAAAATATTATAAATACAGTCACAATGTTTTATATTAAAATTTTTATATTTCAAAGTTAAAATTTTAACGAAATTAATAAAAAATGTAAAAACGGTAAACTGTTTTTTAGTTTGAAATTCATAAAAAAATTTTTTATACCTTAGAATTAAAATTTAGATTTCAAAATTGAAGATAAGATTCTTTTCAAGTAATTCATATTGAAACCACAAAATTTAAAAAATATATGTTAATTATTTTGCTATATTTAAAAATAATTATTTGTGGGAACTTAATTTTTTATGTTTTTTATATTATTATTATGAATTTTATCTTATGCAATAACATGTTTTATTTATTTATTTTACTTATTTGTACGATGAATTTATTTTACTGTTTTCTGGTATTTACAGAAAGATTTTAGTACATTTTGAATTCTTAAGTTGATATAATATAGTATATGTAATATTTTCGAAAAAATTAAATTAACCTACTATAATACTAAAAGTAAAATGAATGACTTAATATCTGTATCAAAAAAAAAAAAAAAACATTTCACTTGGTAATAATGGTGAATGGTGATATTAGATTGTTTTCGTTCATAATCGTTTTTCGTGTACAGTGCAGATGATAATAGATCAACGAATTTAGATTTAACACACCTATAATAGTGATCCACTCACACCCAATGTACGCAGTGCGGTACCCGCTTACCAACTATTTTTATTGATTATAATTTGAATAAATAAATTAAAATAATAAAAAACTATTATATGTTATTATTTTTCATATTTTAAAATTATTTCTCAATTAAATTTATAGTATGCTGTGGCATATTAATTATTAAAAGCAATATAATACACAATGTAACGATTCTAAGAATTTCTTTTGGTGATAACCAATAATTATTATTTTTGTTGTAGCATTCAGATTTATAACATGAAACGGGAGGGAGAATATAAATCTATAATACATTATAGGTTTATGCGGGTGGTCTGTTCTTGGAAAAAGGGATGCCTCAATATTCTCCTAACGTTTAATCATGTCCAACCAAAATATACCCATGTTTCAAATAAAATCTGCGTTATAGTTGTTTATTTTCTCACGTTTTAATGTTCACCATAAATTATTTTATACATTTTTATAAAATACAAAATATTAAAGTGATAAGATAGTAAAATAGTAATATTTAGTTCATGTTTTTAATTCGTAACCAA